AAATAATTCTACTTATGGTTTTGGAAAAAGTCTTTTTTTCGAAATTATATTTCTTTCATAAAAATTATCGTAGCCATTGGCAACCTGTACCCCGTTTCTGTAACTTTTAGTGAGAAATTCTCACATCGAGAAGTGTGAAACAAAAAATTCCATCGTTTCTCGATTTGTGAGTAAAAAGTGTTTCTGTAACTTAAAGTGAGAAGAGGCTACACGAATTACGTTTTTATTGGAAATTTCCAATAAAACAGCTGTCAAAAAAATAAAAATTAAAAGAAGAAAACAAAAATTGCCGAACAAATTTATAAACGAAGAATAAATAAATAAAGAATATAGAAATTAAATGAAAATTGTTCGAAAAATTATTCCACTAAATTCGCCCTTGGCAAATTCTAAGTTTACACCCACGTACTTTTTTAGCATTTGGTTCTGTATGCTAAAATTCCTCCTATTTTCTAAAACAATATTTATTTCAATCTTAATTAATTATAAATATAACATTACTTTTTCATTATTTCATAGAATTCATGTTTAAATAAAATTTTTTTACTTAAAATTTTACTTTCCGCACCGTTTTAAAATGTGAGTTTTTTTGACAGTTCATGTGAGAAACTTCTCACAAAATTTTATTACAGAAACACTTTTACTCACAAATTTCCAATAACTTATGTCAAAAATCATAAATGACAGATAGTTCTCACAAAATTTTCTTACAGAAACACTTGCATGTGAGAAATGATATTTTGTTTCAACTCACATTGTTTTTTCTTCAATTTCACTGTTTCATGCGAGAAACTTCTCGATGCGGGAGTTACAGAAACGAGGCACTGATTAAATAGTTTAATCAATTTGATGTAGTTTACGTCAGAAACTTTTTAAGGTGAAGTCATTTCAATTGCTGATTGTTTTTTTGTACATGGAAATTTAGCCCGACGCTGTCAAACTGCATATAAAAAAATTCTCTCTCAAAACCGACGCTGTCAAACTCCATATATAACGAATATAATGAATTCGCCGCAAAATGAAATGACTTCACCTTATAATCTATTCGCCTTGGTCTACACAGAGAAATTTTTGTTTTAGCAACTACGTATTAATTGCATTGATTTGTCTTTGTACAAGAAATTCCGTACCGCGAGGGAGATGTTGTATTGACTCAGGGATGGCAAGTAGATTATGAAATTGTGCAAAAGTTTGTTCGAGTTTTGTTAAATTTATATCAATATGAAACAAAATTATCGCAAATCGGCTTCATTAGTCCTTGAAGCTGTCACTTAACTAATTATTTTGAATACTACCTAACTTCATTGTGGAATGTGGACTCATACCACTATCAAATGTTCATATGTATGAGTCCATAAATTAGTCAATACTCTATATAATAGATAGGTCTACAGATTAGAACATAAACTAAACTATAGACTAGTCTATAAACTTGGCTATATACTAATCTATATACTAGGCTATAGTCTATTCTAGACCACAGAGTAGTCTATAAACTAGACTATATACTATTATATAGACTAGACCATAGAGTAGATTATGGTTTTAGTCTATAGTCTATAGACTAGATAACAAACTACACTATAGACGAGACAATAGAATAGGCAATAGACGAGTCTATTGATTAGAGTAGTTTAGTGTCCAGTCCGTATAATAGTCCAAAGACTAATTCATAGAGTAATCTATAAACAAGATGGATAGTCCAAAGGCTGTATACTATAGAATAGTCCATATACTAGTAGTCTGTACACTAGACAATATATATAGACTATATAAACCATATAGACTATAGTCTACAGACAAGACAATAAACTACTCTACAGACGAGACAATAGAATAGGCATACTCTAAAGTCTAGACTATAGAGGATTCGTTATAGACTAGACTATGGACTAGTCTATAGACTAGACTATAGAGTAGTCTATAGTCTAGACAATATAGTAGTCTATAGACTCGACTATAGAGTAGTCTATAGACTCGACTATATAGTAGTCTATAGACTCGACTATAGAATAGTCTATGGACTCGACTATAGAATAGTCTATAGACTCGACTATAGAATAGTCTATAGACTCGACTATAGAATAGTCTATAGACTCGACTATAGAATAGTCTATAGACTCGACTATAGAATAGTCTATAGACTCGACTATAGAATAGTCTATAGACTAGACCATAGAGTACCACAGTCTAGTCTATAACAATAAACTCTAAAGGCAATAGAAAAGTCTATTGAATAGAGTAGTGTACTATCTAGTACTAGTCCAAAGACTATTTCATAGAGTAGTCTATAAACTAGATAATAGACCACATTTGTCCAAAGACTGTATACGTACTATCGAATAGTCCATATACTAGTCCAAGTTCTAATTTATAGACTAATCTATAGTCTAGACTATAGAGAATTCGTTAAACAATACTATAGAATAGTCTAAAGACTAGACTAGTATAGACTAAACCATAGAGTACCATAGTCTAGTCTAGACTAGACAATAAACTACTCCATAGACGAGACAATAGAAAAGCCTATTGATTAGACTAGTGTACTGTCTAGTCCGTATACTAGTTCAAAGGCAAAGAGAAAGACTAATTTATAGACAAGTCTATAGAAATGACTAGACCTTAGAATAGTCCGACTACTAGTGCAGAGAATAATACATCGACTAGTCCATACAAAAGACTTGACCTTAGAAAAGTCATTCGACTAAACCAAAGTCTAGTAAAAAATACTTGAAGAATCATTTCTGGATGGGGGTTTATGTGAAATATATTGAGATTTAATTCGAATATTATATTGCAACGCAATGCCGCAAAGTCTAAATAAAATTGTTTATTATTTTGCCTTAATCACCTTACATAATTTTCGTTAAATGGCAATTTTAAATCAATGTCTGAATCATTTTCATATGGTTTCTATAAGAGCATTTTTAAGATGGGAATTACTATGGAAATCGTTAAAGTGTTTTCCGAAATACTTAGCTTTATCAAACCTTTACATTTTCAGATTTCAGACTATTTCATTATTTCAACCTACGAACATCGTAAGCAAACCCGAACGTTTGCTCGGACGCCAGCAATTATTAAGGTTGTTATAAAACATAAGTTAATCGATAAGTTCTTAGATCCTCTTCTCTAAGCTTAATCATGCAATGTTAGAAGAACATTGTAGGTTTTACGACCGATATATCAAAATGACAGAATGATGAAATCATTATACACCAGATGAGAATATTCATGTTAAGTAGAGATTTTGAAATTTTTCAGATCAATAATGAAATTGATCAAAGAAAACTCAGTCAGAAAGTATAGTCGAACATAACCGAATATACGATTACCTATACATACTAACCTATTATATATTCTATTGGATTGAGCTACGACTTTCTACATCACATCTGTTTTTCGAGATATTCATCCCTATCACCAGTTAACATTTCACTTAAAATATGTTTCCTTTTCACCTTTTTCCCCTGTTGTGAAATATTTTGATGGAATTTTGTAAACATTGAACAACTGTTGCATATAAAATCAACTATTGTGAATGAATTGTTCACAGCAAGTTCATGGTAGCAATTTGCCCCTTGAGGGAAAGGAAAATGTCACGGGAAAAAAGTTTCACTTCTATTGGCGATTCGGGTGATTGTGTTCTAACGTCAAAAAAATGTTTTTAATTCATATTTGAGATGTTATAACAGTGTGACAGATAGCTTTATTTATAAATTTTGTTATGCTATCTGAAAGTCAAATCTGTCAACTTTGAGATGTCTCAAAGAATGGAGAATATAGTATAATAGAGGTAAAGCCTATATATCAAAATCGTATGGTTAGACATTTAGATGACATGACAAAATTTATAAACAAATACATATGTATGACTTCTCGATATAATAACGTCTCATACATATATGGGGTTGGTTTTCAAACTTAGAAATCAAAATCTCTAAACTTTTTCTGAAGTATATGTATATGAGGAACATTTATTTGAAATTCAATTGTCAATTTATTTTAAACATTAAAACTGTTATTTTAAAAATTTAAGAAATATCATTAAAAAAAATTAAACAATTTGCAAATATTTATGAAATTAGAAGATATATTCTTAATTTTTTTTATAAATAACTTAAATTATAAAATAAAAAAATATCTGACTTACCCTTATCCAAATTTAACTAACCAATACAATAATTATAATAATCTAATATGATCACAATCTTTCACGAACTAATCTAACTAATGTAAACAATAACAAACTAAGCGTAAAGTTAACACTCACAAATTAACAAATCTCATGCAACAACAGGGTGTTGTATGCAAAATATGTATAAAAAACACATTTCAACTTAATTTTCAAAACCATGAGTAGAACATATTTATGAAATACATTTTTAAAAGAATTTAATTAACATTTAATATAAAAAGTAATAAGCTTTGAAGGTAAACACAACTATTTTCTTATTTCATCCATCATAAATTTGTAGTTAAATAGTTGAAAGTAGTAACAAAAAAAAAAATAATAATAATATAAAATTGGCCCAACATTTTTGTTCCAAGTATTTTACACACATTAATTACACACTTTTAATCATAAATACTTCTTTTCATTAATGTATTGAAAATAAAAATGAAATCCAAAGGGAATTTAAAGATGATTTTCTTTTAAAAAACAGTTAAAAATTAAAATAAATAAACCCCTGAGTGGATTCCTTACTTGTGTTTTTTCTCTTGGCATTTTTTAAAATAACAAACTTTTTCTTCCTTATAAACAATTTACTTAGTTAAATATATAATAAAAAAATACAAAATATTGTTCTTTGAAGCCCCGCAACTTTGTTACTTTTTGAACAAAATACTATATGTTTTATCAAGTTCTTTTTAGCTAATTTTTCCTTTATTTTTGATTATTGAAAAACCAAAAAAAAAAAAAAAAAACTGTTCAATTGTTAAATTGAGTTACAAAAGCAAAATCTTAAAAATATTTAATGAATTGAACTGTTTTACAGGGGATGATCGGTCGCGGTGGTAATGTTGCTGGCATGCAGCAGCAACAACAACCTTATGGTCAGCAACAAACGCAAATGGGACAACAACAACAGCAGCAGCAACAGTTACAGCAACAACAGCAACAGATGGGTGGCATGGGGCCAATGGGCCAGATGGGTCAGCAGGGTATGATGGGTCAACAGCAGCCAATGGGTCAACAGGGACAACAGCAAATGGGTCAGATGGGTCAAATGGGCATGATGGGCCAGCAGCAACAGCAGCCTGGTCAACAGATGGGACAAATGGGTATGATGGGTCAGCCGCAACAACAGCCACAACAACAACAGCAACAACCTCCTCCCGTATCGCAACCCTCAGGCGGTTTATTATCCGGTGCAACTAGTTTGCTCTCGGGTGCTACTTCGGCTGCCACCGGTGGTCTATTTGGATCTAAACAACCACCAAAACAAGATCCAATGCAACCACAAGGTGGTGCGCAGCCAACGCAGCAAACATCAACCGGCCTGGGAGGATTATTTGGCGGCGGCCAACAGCAGCAGCAACAACAACAACAGCAGCAGCAGCAACAACAGCAACCCCAACAACAACAGCAGCAACAACAACAACAACCACAAGTGCCACCTCAAGGTCAACAGCCACCACCACAAAGCCAAGGGCCCGGTGCTGGTCTGCTGGGCGGTCTCAAAGGTATCGCCGCAGCAGCGCCGGGTGGTGATGTGCTGTCGAAAGGTAAGGATCTCTTTGGCAAATTCGGATTCGGTTTTGGCAAATAACCCCGGTCATATTATAGGTCGTTTTTATATATATTATATTAATAATAATTATTATATATTAATAAATTACTTAATAATTAATTAAATCAGAAAAATAATACATAATACATATTGAAAATAATTAATAATAAAAAAGTAAACAATATAATACCAAAGTCAAGAAAAGGTTTAACTTTCGATGATTTCTTTAGGAATGTTAAGCTCCATTCCAATTTTTCCCCATATATTTTATATTTTTAAATAAAATTCTATCAACTTCAACAGAAATCGTTAAATTTTCAATTTACAACTTTCTATAGATTTTCAAGAATTAGAATTCCGATATTATTAAAATCCAAAGTTTGTTATAAATATTTTAAATAGTTTATCAAAAACTCTACTCAAAAGTTATAATTTTGAATATTTTTTTAGAAATAAAAAATTTATTAAAAATTTATTGAAAATTTGCTCTAGAAGTAGAGAATTTATTGAAAAAACTTTTTATAAATTGAGAATTTTGTAGTATTTCTCAGTGAATAAAAAACATTTTATAAATGCTTCGTAAATCTGTCTTCAAATTGTAAGAACTATAGATTATAGATTAGACTAGACTATAGACTAGACTATAGACTAGACTATAGACTAGACTATAGACTAGACTATAGACTAGACTATAGACTAGACTATATACTAGACTATATACTAGACTATAGACTAGACTATAGACTAGACTATAGACTAGACTAAAGACTAGACTATAGACTAGACTATAGACTAGAATATAGACTAGACTATAGACTAGACTATAGACTAGACTATAGACTAGACTATAGACTAGACTATAGACTAGACTATAGACTAGACTATAGACTAGACTATAGACTAGACTATAGACTAGACTATAGACTACAATATAAACTCGATAGACTCGATATGTTAAAGATTTTTTTTAAAATTCCTACAAAAATTTTGGACTAGACTACGCTATAGACTATAGACTAGGCTATAGACTAGTCTATAGACTAAGCTATAGATTTCACTATGGACTAGGCTATAGACTAGACTATAGACTAGCCTATAGACTATACTATTGACTAGACTATAGATTAGACTATTGACTAGTCTATAGACTAGACTATAGACTAGATTATAGACTAGACTATAGACTAGATTATAGACTAGATTATAGACTAGATTATAGACTAGACTATAGACTAGATTACAGACTAGACTATAGTCTAGATTACAGACTAGACTATAGTCTAGAATATAGACTATACTATAGACTAGACTATAGACTAGACTATAGACTAGACTATAGACTAGACTATAGACTAGACTATAGACTAGACTACAGACTAGACTATAGACTAGACTATAGACTAGACTATAGACTAGACTATAGACTAGACTATAGACTAGACTATAGATTAGACTATAGTCTAGACTATAGATTAGACTATAGACTACACTATAGACTAGATTATAGACTAGACTATAGACTAGATTATAGACTAGACTATAGACTAGACTTAGACTAGACTATAGACTAGACTATAGACTACAATATAAACTTAAATAGACAATAGACTCGATATTTTAAAGCAGCGATCGGCAGACATATACTACCGCATTTTGCACTTGTATAAGTGTAAGAGCGAAAAAAACAAGAAATGAGAAATTGTTGTACTCTCATCTTCACAAGGCATGCTTGGAAAACTGAAATTTAGAAATAATATTAATCTAAAACAAAACTAATATTTTTTTTTGTTTAAAAGTAGCAAATATTTTTTTGGGCTTATGGTATACGCACAATTGGTACGAACGACGAATTTCGTATAGCACGACGAACTAGTCGACACAAATTCGTTGCGTAAATTCGTCGAATGGAACACAATCAAATTATTCGTACTGTGAATTCGTTTTAAAATTTTTTTGTTCGAAATTGGAAAAAGTAAGAAAAAGGAACAAAAATTATATTTTTGTGAACCTCCACGATTTTGAGATAATTTTAACAGCTTTAAAATTTATTCGAACATTATTTCGTAATTAGAAATGTAAGAAAGAACTAAAATTATATTTTTGTGAATATCCCCAATTTTGAGAATATTTTAACAGCTTCAAAATTTTTTCGAACATTACTTCGAATTTTCGAACTTAATTTTAAATATTCCAACATAGCATTGTAGTGTCATCAAGTGTACTCCAGACTGCCAAATTTCAGACAATTCGGGCCACGAGAACTGGTTTTAATGGCTTTAAAATTTTTTCGAACTTAAGTTCGAATTTTCGAAAATTTTATTTTTAGTTTTCATGACCCAGAGATTATTTTAAGAGCATAAAAAATTTTTCGAACATAACTTCTAATTTTCGAATATAATTTCGAATATTCGAACATAATATTGTATTGTCATTAGTTGTACTCACAACCGCCAAATTTCGGGCTACCGGAATTGGTTTTAAAACAATTTTCCCCAATTAATTCGTCGTTCGTCTGCGTAAGAAATAGAAATAAACCTATCGCATAGTTCGTTACGTACGACGAATATCGTCATACGCAATGATTGTGTACATTTTCATATACTCAAGTGTGTTCTATTTCTGACGACGAATATTCGTTCCGAAAAATTCGTCGTTCGTCCCAATTGTGCGTATACTATTATTTGCACATATTTATTTTAAATATTGAAATAGAAATATGAGCTTTTTAACTAAGTTTTTAATAAAATATATACCTATTAAGGGAAAAATTTTACATAATTTAACATATATATTGGTAAATTATTGTAATTTGCTACTTAAGTTGTTAGAAAAAACATTTAAAAAAGTTTATAATTCTAAAAACTACTTAATATGTAGTGTAGATGCTAAAAAAAGTACAACAATAATTATAATTATCTATCCCTGCATTAATATATTTTCGTTCATTTTCATTATAAAAGCAAGAAACGAGCGACAACACAACCTCCCTCAATAACAACTCATATGAGACTGAATTGTGTTTTCTATGCGTGTGAGTAGTCTGTGTAAATTTAGTAACGGCCAAAATACACAGTGTATAGGAGTTGCCGATCGAGGTTTTAAAGATTTTTTTAAAATTCCTACAAAAATTTTGGACTAGACGACGCTATAGACTAGACTATAGACTAGGTTATAGACTGGAGTATAGACTAAGCTATATATTTTACTATAGACTAGAATATAAACTAGTCCATAGACTTGACTACAGAATAGACTCGACTATAGTCTCGACTGTAGACTAGAATATAGACTCAACTACAGAATAGACTAGACTATAGACCAATCTATAGATTTCACTATAGACTAAATTATATGCTGAATATAGATTAAACTATAGAAAAGACTATAGACTAAACTATAAACTAGCCTATAAATTGGACTATAGGCTAAACTATAATCTGTATTAAAATATAATCTATACTAAACTACATACTAAGTAAACAATAGACAGGAATACATACTAGATTATAGACCGGACTAAACTATAAACTCGACTGGATACTAGACTATGGTCTTGTCCATATACTAAACTATACCATAGATTAGACTACATACCAGATTAGACACACAGCAACTTTTGAAATTGTGACTAGTCTATAGACTAAACTACAGACTAGACTATAAACTATACTATAGACTTGACTACAGAATAGACGGCAGACTAGACTATATAAAAAATATAAAATACAAGAAACAATATATATATATATATATATATATATATATATATATATATATATGTAGATTAGTCTGACTATACTAACTAGACTATGGACTGGAATACATACATAGACTAAACTATAGACTTGACTATGGACTAAACTATAGGCTTGTCCATAGACTAAACTATAGACTAGGCTATAGACTAAAATATAAACTAGCCCACAAATTAGACTATAGGCTAAAATAGAATATATACTACTATATACTATTGACTGGAATACAAACTTGATTATAGACTATACTATAGACTGGACTTTAAACTAAACTATATACTTAACTATAGACTTGACAATGGACTAAACTATAAATTAGATTTTAGACCAGACTATATACCAGTTAAGACACGCAGTAACTTTTGAATTTGTGCGAGAGAGAAGAAGCAATAGTAAATATCAATCGTCTTTATTCTCTCTCATGTACTCATGGTAAGGTACTGTAAAAGTTAAAGCAAATAATTAAATAACCGATTTATCTCATTAGCAGATGGCTTTGAGTGCCGACCACGGCTTTAAGAGTTTGTTTTTTTTTCTAATATAAATAAATTTCCCTAAGATTATATTTTATAACTTTATTATAAAATATTTTACTTTATTATTTTGTAAAAATTTTAAATAATTTAATTTTGAAAACCTTTTCTTGGCCTTAACCACATATAAAATAATATTAATAGTAATTAATTTTTTATTAATTTTAAATTGATAGAAAATTAAACTATATTTTTCCTCTTTATATATAAAAAATCCCCATCAAAACAAAACCTTAAAGGATTAATAAAACAATAAAATTTTCCAATAAAATACATAGTTAAAACAAAAACTTATTTATCTCCTCCGCAAACAAAACTGAAAAATATTATCTTTAATTTTGTTAAAAAAAAAATAAATAACTAATTCAACAAAAACGTTGTAAAATTTTAAATTAATTAAAGAAAAGCAAAAAAAAAAAATTATCATGATAATGAAAATTTTGAAAAAAATAAGAAAAATCCCCCAGAAAATGAAATGCAATAATATATTTGTTTAAACAAATTTAAAGTTAATTGAATATTAAAAAATTAAAAAAAATCACCATCATTTAATTGATTGTAAACATATTATACATACATAAATTATATTATATTATATATATTAAATATAAAGTTATATTAAATATTAATAATAATGATAAATTATAAAAAAAAAATTAAAATTTATAAAACATATTAAATATTTACAATTATTTGTTACGCACATTGTTAAATTTGCTACTGTTGCTGACCAGTTTATAAAAAAAAATATAAAAAAAAAACCAAATTGAGTAAAATACAAAAAAAATATATATATTATATAAAGAATAATAAAAAAATCTATACATATACATATAAATTATTAATTTAAATGAAATTAATAATATAAAACAAACCAAAAATAAAAAAATTATTTAAAGAAAAAACAAAAAAAAATATATTAAAACTAAAATTTATTAAATCAAAACCAAAAAAAAAACATTAAACACTTTAAACTAACACATAAATACAGTCAAACAAAAATAAATAAATAAAAACTCTTATAAAACTCTTATACATACATTATTTCTTATACATAATTATATAGAGTGAAAAAAACAAAAACCAAAAAAACTTAAATAATTTCTTTCTTTATAATTTTATTTAACATTTATATATTTTTTTTCAAAATATGGCTTCGATTAATTATATATTTCCTAAAAAAAGTAAAAAAAAAACATTAAAAACAACTACTAACCACTTAACATATTTACATACATACATACTTACTACTACTACTATTTACTACAACTATGACTAAAATACTACTTTAACAATTTAAAAACGTTTCTTCTTAATTTTTTATTTATTTATACGAATTTTCAATACTTTTTTAGTTTATAAACAATTTTACATTTAAATGCTTTAACTAAATAATTGA